GCACTTTGATGTTTCAGAAAGCATAGATCTAGGAAAGATGGTTTCCTGCCACGTTAACATGTCTCAGTTTGTGTTACAGTAAGATGACTAGTCTCCACTGGTGTGCCATTTAGGTCTTTGTTTCACTGAAAACCACTTCACACAACTCACAATAATGTTTATATCTCTGTGAACAACCCAGTGAAAGCATACAATTGACTCATCTTTAGAAATCCAATACATCACAGTGACTTTCACTTTGGCCACATAGCTTTGATTTTCATACATCTTATTAAATTATATGTTTACTTGTGTTGTCTGATAGTGCTCAGTAGTACAGTATGCATCTACAGTAATTAGATGATTATGGAATGCAGTCACTTAAGGAAGTAGCAGTGACTCACCAAAAGCATATTTCCTGCCTCTATAAATAGATATGCACTATAGCTTAAACTACGGTTGTGCAATATATCACAATCAAACTGAAATCACAGTTTGGGTTGGCACAATTTTCAAATGCATAGACTGCAGTTATTTAGATAATAGAATGTCCTCTGCAAAGAACAAAATACCCTGTAGTTAGTTTACCACTTCATATTTCAGTCTTCTCTCAAACATTAAAGCTCCTGTGCAGCCCTAGCTTTAATACAAGACAACAGCACTCATACTACAAATGTTCATTTTTCTAAATGTCAATGTACGTAAGTCTGACTCATTACAAGTGGAAAGATAGCAGTGTACTTCCTCTGCTCAGCGCCATGTGCCCTTAATGTAATTTGTTTAACTCTGAAGATAACACTTCCTGAACATGAAAATAGCAACTTTGCCATTGATTGTGCAGGAGTTGTGAAAAAACACTGTAAACTGAACTGTGATTTTGTCGTATTCTTCCACAAAAGAGGGCAAAGTGATAATGAATGCTCCTTCATGGTATACTATAATGAAATGAACAGTGAAAACACTAATCTGCACGTTGATTCACACAATGTTTTACTCTACATATGGGTCAATGGTTAAGCTGCAGCACATATACAAAGGCAGTGTTTTAGGTTTTGAGTCTGAGTTTACCCATTATTTCCCCATTTCCTGATATACGATGTAGGAAATATATCCTGTTATTTTTAGTAAATAATCTGTTACTATTATTGATATCTCTGTATTTGCTATACTTCAAAGTCATGTCCCATATGTTGCTGCCCTACTGTACTGGGCTGGCCTCATTAATCCAGTTCTGTGTTCTGAGAGTGCTTACACATTTATTCCACCTTTTGGCTGTGCTTGTGCTTTCTAATCTATGCCCTTTTGGTGTTAGCAACCAGAGCAGTTCATAACAGACCAGCCAAACTGCCACAGTGCATTAGATCTACTAGTGACTCTAATTTAGCCTGAAGGTGAGGTGGTTACCCTGGTACGGCTCATACACAGAGAGAAACATGCTAACACAGAGCATGGAAACAATCTCTTGCTAGTAACCATCACATTCCCTTCATTCCAATGCATATATTATATTCATTGTATTCTTCTTATTAGCACATGAACTACGTTATGTTCTCTGGAGACATTGACCACACCCTGCAGAACCCATGCAATGTGACAGTGAAGGAATTTGCTGCCGGCTCGCCACAAATACTTGAAGCTTGACTCAAAATACTTGAAGATCACATGTTGCACAAATGACAGGGAAATATGCAGAAAGAGGCTGAGTTGTTGAAAAGTGTATTTTTGTTGTTGTTGAATTGTTTGCTGTGCAGTGTGTGTTTTAAGGACATACTTTACAATTTATAGTTAATCTTTTTTGAGGTATTAAAAACAGATATGAGTCAAAATGCCAAAGCAAGGAGTCTGGAGTATCCTGGTACAGAAAAAAAGGGGTTCAGTGTGATTTTCCTCATTATTGATAATCTTGAAACAAATCGATCAACTAGAATGGAAACACATAAATATACAAAATAGGGCATTTATAGCTGAGGTATTTAAATTTCGATTGAGCCAATGTACTGATGTATGTAAACAAAATACAATACGAAAGAATGATCAAGTTCGCCTGTGCTTCGGCTACTGATTGACTGTGTCTGAACTAAAACGTAGGCCCTGATTAGCACAGTTTGTTCAGTCCCTCTCATGTGACAGTGAGTAAGCTAACCTTTGTAACACTTTCCAGAAGTGCAGAAGGACAATGACCCCACCACTGAAAAGCTGCAGTTTAAAATATACAATAAACACATCATATTAAAGGTGGACTGTGTAACCTTTCTGCTGAGTTGTCGGCCACTTGCTTTTCTCCATGATATGTTAACATTTTGCTTTGAATTTTCCAATGAATGTTAAACTTATCTTTCTTTTATTCATTTACTTACAGAGATTTTATTGCTCAATAATACCCTTCCACAGATCTGACCTGTAACATTGACATGGTGGCAAAGCAATAACTAACATCTCAATGGAGACAAGCAGGTTGTGGACCTTCCTTCATAAGAAAAGTTACATAGTGCCTCTTTAAGTGTGATGATCTTACTCAAGCACCAAAACGTGTGCTTGAGTGTGCTGACTGAGAGCAGTGACTTGGCAGAGTCGTAGCTGATATGACACCTAAGCTGATATCTGCTGAACTCAAACGAGCTACTAAATATAAGTGGAGTTTCCATGCCAAAATGAGAAGGAGCTGTGTCATTATATGAACGTCCGTCAGGAGGTGGCAGTAATATTTCATACTGCTGCCCTCTGCTGGTCATTCAGACACCAGACCACGCTGCTGGAGAGAAGTTTACCACAGGTTAGGACTGCAGCCAATGATTATTTTGCTAGTCGAATGATTGGGCTGTTTAAAAAAAGAGCTGAATTGTGGAAGACCCCTGAATATGTTATATACATTTATGTTTATTATTATTTAACCAGAAAAGGTCACACTGAGGTTTGGAGTCTTACTTTCAGGAGAGTTCTTACCCCAGACGGGACATGTCTTTGGTGGTAGGTAGAACACCCCTATTAAATGAAAGTGATGCCGCTTGAGGACATCTCAATAGGGCATTTTTTAGCAGATTTTTTGTTGTCGTTTTGATTTTGTTTGAATTATAAAGCTACTTCTCTCAGCACATGAGATTTTGGAGTCTATGCATAGATTGCAGTTCAATTACGATACAATTTTCCATTTCTAAATTAGTTGCTTGTGTCAGTCAGTTGAGATTCATCCATGGATTTGTTTGAGCTCTGCTGCTGGAAGTTTTCAGAGCTAGATTTCCCTATTGTTTACATTGTACTTTGCCATGAAATATCCAAAAGGTAAATTCGCAAATGAACCTGGTCTTTTCAATTACTGACTGAACTCCAGAACTAACTGTGTTATTGACAACATAATTTAGCATTTTAACAGGATTCATTTTAATATTAATATTTAATATGTAATACATTTTAGCCTATGCTGTTATGCCATCTGAAACCCAGCAATAGGTCAAATATGTGAGATGTCTTAAAAATATTACACTATTATTGCCATCATTATTTACAAATAGTATTTACAAAAGTCTTAGTTACACACCCTCTAAATAATGTGCATTACATCTTTGTCAGTGACACATCTCGGTTAGGCTTTCTTCTTTTTAGCCACAAGATGGCGCCCACGCTCTGAATTAAAACAAGAAGTTTCAGGTTGTATGGACAGATTAAGATGTTTATTTGTGAATAATTTTGGTAAAACAAACAGGTCAGAGCTGCCAGTTAGGACGACCAAGAGGCACAGAGTAGGACATTAAGATAATCCTAGAAACCATGTTTGTATTTATTATTTTGATGACAGAAGTATAATATTTATTGAATTTTATGGATCTTTGTATCAGCAAGTAATACACACAGCACAAACATAATGCTATACCCTTGTCATCCAATGCTGCACCCACAGCCTTTGAAGCCTTGTGCAATTTAGTGTGTCGCTCACTTAATTAAATATCAATCAGACAAATTAGATCTGGACTGGAGCCAATGAGGGAGTGGATAGGTCAGGATTGAATAAGCAAAATGGGAAAGGGCAGTTCTACTCTAACAACTTAATTGGCACATATGGAGGGCAGCAGTTATTGCAAGAATCATTATCCATAACCATTGTGCATAAATTATATTAATGTCAACAGAGATGCAGAAAGGATAAGCTGGTAGTGTGTACAGCTGATTTCATTATTTATTCATCCTCTCATGAGTTTTCTATTTGTAGATTAGACTACGTGTAACTGAAACATCCAACAAACATCCAAGTGTGGACCTTTTGCAGCGTCTTAACAGTGGTCTCATATGTCTGCTTTGGTCCCCCGTTCACCTTATCTATGCTGTTTGGGTGCTGACTGAAAGTGGTATGTGGCTATACAGATACACACTGCTTGGTCCACAGTCCTGTGATGCAGTGACAGTTAACAGGAGATTCATCTACCAACTGTTACTTGGAATTTAACAAAAGTTTAAATTGAAAACTATGTATGTAGGGCTTGTTGAATATCCCCTAAGAGCTGCCATTTTAACCTCCCGTGTTTGTCGCCTGTTAGTTACCATGAAGATAGATGATTTTAAGACCATACTGTGGAACTTTCAAGGCAAAGCAATAACATCTCCATGGTAACAACAGGTAGCAAACCTCTCACCTGAAAAGTTATAGTGCATCGGACCATAATGAATAGGAGCTAATTGGGCACAATCAGAATCAAAGAATATGGTCATTGCATTAGTTTGTATGTCATTGTGCTATGGTGTCTTGTCTAAACGTGTCGAGGACTTGAGGTTTGTGTGTGATTTGAGTGTTGGCAGAGTGGCTGCAGGCTCACACCCGGACCGTGGCTCTGAGTGCACTGTGATCCAGCTGTCGGAGTGCATAAGACTCAGAGAGAGGCCAACACTGGGCAGAGGAGGAGTGCTGCAGGCAAAAGCTATAAAAAGGAATGGTGACAAATATGTTTAATAAGTATCCAGTAAACCAGAGCTTCTGATTATGTTAGCTATAATATGCTCAGATTTGAATAACTGAAAATACCTTCAGTGGATAAATATTAACACTGATTTCCCTTTATTTGCAGACTTCAGCCAAAACTAATACAATTTACAATTTATGAAACAACTTCAAAAATTTAAACCAATATAACCATCTTTATTCTAAAAGAATGGAGAACAGCTAAGTCTGAAAACAAATCTACTGAGTAAAAATAACATATTAGAGAATAATAGAATAATAATAATAATAATAGAATTAATAGTGCTGAATGGACAGTGAAATTCTAAACATGTATATTTAACATCTGTGCACCACTAATAGCTGAGCCAGAAAATAAATACACATACACATCACAAAACAGACTGCAGTGCATATTGAAATGACACACCATCTAACAATAATATTATCATGAGTTAACTAATGGACTTGTTAATTTCTGTGCATTAGATGCATTTATCCAATAACTCCCATGTTAATATGGCAGAAAGCTTGGTAGACACACTCAGGTAGTCTTTAGGTTGTTAATGAAAAACAATATACTAGTATCATAGTAATATTAGTAACAGAAAAAAATATATATTATAAGGCTGTTCTGTTTTGATTTATTGCTGTCTTCTGATGTTGCCAATTTTCAGGGTGAAAACTGAAATGATGAATACAGAACTTAAGGGTACATGACATTTTAAATGTGTTGTTTTCTTCACACCACATGCAAATCAAATCAGTTACAGTATAACTGTTGCACTTTCTCGGACATTGTGTGAAAATATGATCCATAATTGTCTTGTTATTGTCTTCAAAATAATTACATTTATGCAACCATCAATTGTGCATAGAAAACTAATCTCTTAATAAATATTGAGCACAACACATTATGTAGTGCTGACCTGAAAAATACAAGCCAAAGACCAGCAAAACAAAACAAATTCATTACATTCATTACATTAAGTTAATTACATTTGCTTGTATTCAGTCTTCATCATCGTGTATAGGACCTCTGCCAATTGTAAATAGCATGAATATTATGAGAACAGGCCGGCACCCGCTTACACGTGCTAATACTACGGTTGCGGAACACCCGACCTCCACTAACCCCACCTAATCCCCTCCTCCTTGCAGCTAGTTGCTTGGATCTCTCCTCTGCGGCAAAGAAGTCTGTGCTAGCCCTGAAGAATTCTAGCATGGTTTTGTGACTCCAGTTGATCTCTTGCTTGTCAGATCCACAGTTATTTGCAGCCACATCCCTGTATGTGTTGGGAGATGCGGTAGAGAATGCGCAATGACCACCACGATTAGTCAAAAGCAGGAAAAAATGTGGGTTTGTTTCAAAGAGTTCTAATGGGATGGTGGACTTAGCATCACCTCGAAAAGGGTCATCCTTTGCACATATACTCAATACTGGGATAGCTACCTCGTCAACATCTCTTAAAGGTTCATTGTGTTCCCAGTATGTATCCCATGAAAGGCTGCTTCCTGTGGGTGGCGCTATTATTGAATTGTGACAAAATAGTGCCTCCTCTATGCCCCTTAAAGAGGACCTGGAAAACAGATGTTCGGTCTGGATGATTTGGCCCAATGCACTCCGGTACCTGCACACATAAGAGGCAACCCATCAAAACAAAGACTTAAAACTAGCCAATCTATTCAACTTTGATTTGATACACTCCATGTGGATCACGATGCTCTAGGAAATCAATAACTGGAGAGAGGAGGCATCATCTGTTGCTACAGTAACTTGATTCGTTCCTTAATTGTTTGTGCTTGTCCGATAACGTAGACACTCATATGCTTCAACACTAAGAGACCCTCCAATGTGATAAGGAACTTCATTTTGTTAGGTATAGCCATGTGAGGTTGTTTACAAATACATACAAAGAAATTTCACATATCCTGTATTTTATCCCACTAAGCTAGAAATATTTTGTAAACCAATGAAAAGTGAAACATAAATAACCATATTCAATCACAGAATCATGCTTACTTATTAACAATTTAAAGTTAGGTGGCATGTCTTATTCAAGGAAACAAGACAAAATGATGGGTTTCACAGTCTAGAATTTGATCATGTCATGGGACAAGAGCCAGTTTTTCCTATTAATTACTTTGCCATGAAATATCAAAAGATAAATTCCCAAATATAGAACCCGATCATTTCTATTATTGACTAGACCCAAGACTATGATGTATTACAACAAAAATCTGCAGTTGAACAATATTGTTTTTAGCTTCCCCCCATCTGTGTTCAGTATTATTGGCCTATAGAATCCTGGGATGTCAACTGAAACCCAGCAATATGTAAATAACAGGCTGGTTGGAGTTGTAGGTATTTGAATCACCAATCTGTTGTACGTGTATTTTTGAGCTATAGTTTCCACTTTTTTCCTTGGCTCGTGTGTTTCTCTGTGAATACCTTTTGCTTGATCATGTGTGATTATAGGGTTACCTGCAGAGGCCAAACTTCTGGTACAGTGTTATAGCCCACTGGAGCGGCCACCATAGCCCTTTGTCAAACCAGCTCTGGCAGCGGAACACTGGAGACAGGCACACGGCGGCGGTCACATAGCTAGATGAACCACACTCGCCCAGGTAGGACAGCAGAAGCCCCGCCCCTGTGCTCTCGCTCACTGCATACAGACGACCTGCGGGCTGCCGGTAGCGGATGTAGCGCACTGCCTCCCGGAGGTCGGAGGGGTCACCGAACTGCTGCAGTTTGACTGAGGTAAGAGGGGCCCCGTTGTGTCCACGGCGATTGAAAACGACTGGGAGGTAGCCGTGGAACAGGGCGGTTTCACATAACTGTAAGGGAAAAAAATCAAGCAGGAGACCTTATAAAAAGTGTGCATTCCTGTGTAAGAATTTTTAGATGATGATTAAGTTCATAGAGAACGTTTCACAAAACCAATAGTATAGAGTTGCTATAATCTCTCATTCATCCAGGAGCAGTCCATTTATGAAACACATGGTGTACTATCGTCACGGCTCAAAACATTTCATTTCCAAAACTCTCAAGGAATATTATGAGAACAGTATAACTAAATGTTTCCTTTCATTACAGAAGCATAAAACGCAATGCACTTAATACATAAACCATGTTCAGGATCTTTGTGACTTCTGTGCTCCAGAGTTCTGCTGCACAGGTCTCCATAAAACCATCCACAAACTACTGAACAATGAGTTCTTTTTGCACTAAAGGTAGCCACTTTCCATGACAGTCTTGTTGGCAGAGGTGATACCAGTGGAAAGTTCTTGGTAATACCTTTAATTATGTGGAAAAGGAATGAATATTATACTACTAAGTACAAAGAAGACACATTCCTGTGTGGGTGGCATCATCATACTGTACCTGCAGTACGGTCAGGTGATCAGGACTGATATAGCCAACTCAAATCCACTGATAGTGAGGAATGTTATTTTATATTACATATACCTTCCCTTTTTATCATGGCTGTCATGTATTTAGATAAGAGCAGAAAGAAAACTATCTTTGTACTTGTATACAGTATAAAGTTTACAGTTGACATCACAGCAGACTTCAGACAGGTTTACTATACTTCACCCATTTGTTTATGTGGGCTTCAAGCTGTTTATGTAGTCTGTAGCCTGTAGTGTGACTGTGCTTGTACTTTTCATTTATATAAATTTTCACTACAGTTTGAACCTGAGAGCAGACACACTATTGTGGTATTGGCAGAAATATTAGCAGTACTTTATTTTATTTTAGACTTTATTTTATTTATAATATTATAGTTTGTCAAAATAACCTCGTCTGTTTTATTATTTATCCTTGTAATGTACCACGTGGACAGCATCTGCACCACAAGTACTGCACTGTACTGAGAGTGAAGTGAGTCAGTCATTCACCTCTAATTAAACATTATACTAGTAATAAGAAACACTGGGATAGGATTGCTTCTCTATGAGTTGAGTCGGTCTTGTTGTGGTAGTTTAATCCTTCAAAATTAGATCTTTGACTGATTACTGCGGTAAGCCCCATGTAATACAAGATGGCTGCATCATTGAAATGCAGACTACAGTGGAGTTTAATACTTTGCCTGAATGACTAGAAGATACATTTATAGTGTAAGCAATGTGCAAATATAACAGCGGCTCAGCTATCAGTGTCAGTGTAGAGGAATATTTACTTTGAATTTAGGGTACGGTAAATGGTTTATCATACAACACAAGTAAGTAAATCAATTTTGTAGCGTGACAGACAGGTGACAGGTTCCCTGCCTCCTCAAAGTGCAGTTGGAAAACCATGTTAACCCTCTGACAGCATTGTCCATCAGGAGTATTTACTTAAGTGATGTAAAGGAAATTGGAAAGTGATAGGAAGTTCTTGGAGCCTGCAGACCGACATGAAACGAATGGCGTGTATTCTCTGTGCATGCTTGAAAAAAAAAAAATTTTTAAGGTTAGAAAACTGTGGTTAATTGCAATCTATTTAATAAAAAAAAAAAAGACTATATTCATTCATCTACTAACTGTGTAAAATATAGATGGTAGAGCACGCACCCAGTGATAAATGTTAAGCTCTGTACTGAATTAGATTAACAGCCTGTGAAATGATTTGGCTATAGCTCCCTATACATACATTACCACCACTGAAGTACAATCCACTGCAGTAACGGGCACATTGTGATGGGAACTTACCCACAAGAAGCATAAGCACACAAGAGTGGCAAATAAAACAGCTTCTTATCTGTGTCAACAATAATCAGCAAGAGATTTCCGATAGGCGAGATTTCCGATTGGCAGATCCTCAAAATCCACTTATAAAAATGGTGCAGTGACATTTGTATGTATACACCACTTGCCAACTTTATGCTTTAATCTAGGGCCCTTGGGTGACTCATAGCATTATAAATTCAGAAAGTGTGTGTTAGATTTTATAATGGAACAGTGAAACAGCTAAAATTGTGGAAAAGCCAGAGTGTAGCAAATCACACTTTGAGTCCAGGTATCTCTGAGTCTGTGCCTCTCACTTGTTGTCTATTTTCATCAAACTTGTGACATGTTCATCAAATCGGTTTCAGTAACAGTAAAAGAATGCTACTGCTGCTGTCCAAGAGTTTTTTATCAGCTCAGTGACAAATTCCACAGGCTCAGAGTCTAGACTTTGGGTTTTATTTTCAGAGTTGTGCCAAATTATTGTTTGTATTGTGGAAATGGGGAAGAAAACTGTTAAAAAATGTGGTGATTGACCAGGATGGATGTTAAACTAGTGTAAAAATAAAAATCTGAAGCCATTTTAAATTGTTGTTAATAGTTGCTGATATGCAAGTAGTGTAAATTAAATTGTCTAGACGGTTTTAAAATTATACTTTTGTAAAATTAAAATGACTGCATAGGTTTAGGTTTTGAACACATATTGTATGCTGTTTTTTTAAATTTCATCCTAAATGTAGGATGCCGGAACAGGAATAACCAACCCACCAACCAGAAGCTATGCTAGATACTTGATGGAAAGCCAGAGGCATATAATGTGAGTAAAACTAGGTCACATAATGGTGGTAAATTGAGGCCATAAATTGCCTGCATGGGCCAGTGTGAGCCTGACAGGTGATCTCCACGTGAAGCATGGCGGCTCCTGTGTGCTCCTTTACAGAAACTATTTCACAAAGCAGTAATCACAGCTCTTGGAACACACATGCTGGTCCCTCCATGTGTTTTATTACCTGCCACTGGGTTACTGTGAACCTGACCTTGGAGGAGAAATGATAATTATTATGTTGACTCCATAATAATGAGCTTCTGTTAAGTGATACTATATATTTTACAGTGACTAGCAAAATCAATTTTTCATTTGAGCTATGGGTTTCATTTCATATTTTGTATATTGTGAATGAATCTACTTACTACTACTTACACTAAAATAACTGTAAAAATGTATAACAGCCATGTACTACTATATAACCCGCTAAACCACCACATTTATAAACTGTTTTGTTTGTTTTTTTGCTGTGTTAATTTTTCCTATTGAGTGTTGTGCTGTTGTGGAAAATGTGAAACAAAATATTTTATGGACTATCTCATTTATACATGCATGAGATTCTGAAATGTGCTGCGTACCACATGCTAACCTGCACTGACAGCATTCACTGCTAGTTTCCCTGAATCGCTCTCCTCTGTTTCGCCCTATTCCCACTCAAACTGGAGCTTGTTTCATCTTTATCTCTCTGCTTTGCACCAAAGGCCTGGATGTTCAGCCCATGTGGGTCTCAATGGTGACAGGAGCTTTCCTAATTGGTGGATGTATCCCCAGTAGCATTTCTGTCTTTAGACCTCCCAAGAGGAACCTCAATGAAAGAGGGGAAATAGGTCCTTCATCGGAAATTGAAAACTGCAGAACTGAATGACAGCACTCTCACAATCATACTGTAGCATGCTAAGAATACCACTTAAACATGAATTGCAACAAGGAACAGTTATTTCAAAAGCTATCTTCAGTGCAGCAGCCACGTTAGAAAATCCATACAAAGTAAAACCAATGCCAAATCAATATTAATATCAATGCACACTAGGAGAAAAATAATTTGTTTTGGAAATCCAAGAAAAAGTCAATATAAAACAATAAAATTGGATTTAATTTTCAACCTCACATCTGTTCAGTAATGACTAATAAATAAAAACTGGGCTGGCAGCTGTATCTTGAGTGGTAAGTGTGCTTGTCCACCAACTCAAAGTTCTGTCAGTTGTTGTGTCCTTGAACAAGACACTTCACCCACCTTGCCTAATATGGATGTGCTGTGTGATAGAGTGATTGGTGGTGCTGATGGTTCCGAGTGGTGCTTTGCAAGAGAAAATTTTTAAGAATTGGCAATACAAGATATGGTTTGAGTCATGAAGTTATGTTTAATGTTTGAGAGAGCAAGATGAATCAGTGGATTCGAAAGTCTTGGTAGGCTGCATGGTTCTGCTTTTATGTTGTGTAACTTGATTTTCCCTTTTTGTGAGCTGTTTGCTGACAGTAAGCAAATCAAACTGACAATAAAGCAATTGTGCTTAGCTTTAATTCAAGCAGTGCACTATAATTCACTCCAGAGACACAGCAGGTGAAAATGCATCCATACAAATAGGTGATACATTTTTAATCAGAGACCTTTTTCACATGCATCCTGTAATGTTGGTTCTTTTGCTCTGCAGTGGATAGCAACACCTTACATATTTGTTGAACTAAATAATGTCTGACAAATGCACTGCCAAAGGGCTCAAAGGCAATCTACATTTTTCTAAGTTGGTTCATGTGAGGTTATATGTAGTACAATAGATTAAGTTGCAAGTTTTGTAACACTTGCACCATAAAAAAACACTATTATTTTTGTAATAGTTTTGCTTTGTATGTATATTTTCTCTTTATGTACCACAAACTTCACACATTGCTTTTACAGCCCAAACTCACTGTAAAAATAGTAGGACTGGTGGTATTTGTAGCAAAAACAAACTTCCCAGTGTCATATTGTTGCTGTTGCCCTGTGGATATTGACAGTCAGACCGTTCACTCACCTTTTGCACATTTCTCGTAATCCTCCCGAACGAATTGGGCACAATGAGCAGCACTGGGCTGGATGAGTGGCTGGATGTTCTGCGTCTCCTCTGGTATGAGGGCACTGCCCAGTCCAATGCCACCAGCCCCTCGTCACTCAGCTGCAGGTTATCCCGCACGAACTGGACTGCACCGTGGTATGGCCAGCACGCCTCGTACACGCTCTGAAGCACGGCGCTCGCCCTCCAGGTCCAGCCCACACATGGAGAATAGTCACTAAAACTTCTGCAGTGTTTCAGCAGGTAGTTGGCCAGAGCTGATGGTTTGCATATGAACGTCACGGAGTCCTTTTTAACGTCAGGTTTGTTGTGCGTAAAGCTGTCGTTTTTGGTATTCGAGTTCTCCTCCAGCCCCTCTAACAGCGCATCCGTCTGTCCCTCTGTGTAAAAATACGCGGAACCTGGCCAGATGAAGACCACCAGGATCACAATGAACACAACTACAAGACATTCCAGCATTTGCGCTAAATGACAAAGAACTCGGGCAACTTAAGGTGCTCAACAGCCTCGCCAGTTAACCATACATCCCAATCACTTAAAAAAAAACCAAAACGCTTAATGAATATGAGCTTCAGAGCGCACGTGCCTTTCCAAACTCCTGCATTCCCGCTTCTTCCGCATCACAAATATTCAGTTTCCACCTTTGAAAGATGCTGTGCCTTTCCTCTCAATGATCAAAACAGACTGCGCTCCAACGAACGCACCTCTTCGCTCCCAGCTTTGTGATTACCAGAAGAGACTCGCGCGCTCACACCGCTGCTTCTGCTGGCAACGCCTCCCGTATCCAGCCCCAGTCAAAAACAGGTAGTGGGGCGCGCGCGGATCCGTGTGTCTGATATCAGAATGTACGCTGTAGGTCCTTTCAATGAATTATCAGTAAAAGAGTTCCTGTCATTTCTGCCACTTGCGAGAAGAATTTGTGCGCATGGCAGGGGCCGTCGTGAACTATGAATGAACCAAATATTGACATTGTTTTTGGATCTGCTTTGGGGGACATGAGGAGAAAGTTGGCAAATGGCTCATACAAACAGTTCGCACGAAAGCTGAAGTTTGCATGTTGCTATTTGAAAAGGTATATAATTGTAAGGGAGAACGCATTTAATATTAAAATTTATTTAATTTAAAGGGCAAAAGGAGATAATAGAAAATGTAATGTATGGTAAAATCAGGGTTACAGTTAAAAATAGCAGATTCTTCTGATAAATTGATGACTTTTGTGTATTGCAAATATTGATCTATCTTCATCAAATGATTGATAGCTCTCTGTTTACTTTATACAGATCTGAAGAAGTGTGTATTCTGGATCCCAGGCAACACAAATAATGCAAATGGTTTGAAAGTAGATTCTTTGGAAAGGTAGTTCACAGAAAGCTGGCCTATTACTTTTGCAGGCAACGAAACTAAAAACATACAGTGAAATGATGAAGACAGTAAAGCATTATTTGTTGCTATCACACCATTCCTGAAAGTTATAGAGTGGAAAAAGAAACCAAATACAAACTTTTGAAAATTTTGCTTTTGTTATCTCAGGGAATAGACCATTCAGTTTTACAACTTAGTCATTAATGCTGAAGTTAAAACATTAACTCAACTGAGATTCTAATAGATGATTTTAAATGTAATGGGGATCATTGGTAGTACTGCAGTATAGATAAAAAAGGCTGCATGTTATCTTGTGAAAAGGCCAAAGAAAATTCTCAAGTCAAAAATACTATTCTCTGATGCAAATAGGAAAGGTCAATGCTTATAGCGATGACGAAGACTGCAGATAAGAGCTGGACTGGAGATAAGCTGAAGGTTGCGGCGATTTGGGATATCACTGGACACATCGTTCATTGACCCAAGATGGCTCCCGAAACATACCACAGGGTTTGAGTACACAAGCAGATTGGCCATCATTTGCATTTGAAATCATTATTTTTTTTGCTGGATTTAACTAGCTATTTTGGGTTTAAATCAAAACTGGTCCTGCAGACATATTTGTGGCACAGTTAACATAAAATAAATACACACAGCAGTCCTAAAATATACACAGATTACGGTAATAACCTACTTATATCATATCCAGTTCTACTAGTTTTGATCATGAATGATGTTTGTAATTTTTGACTTGCCAGTTCATGTCAGTTGAGTATAGTTGGAGACATTACACAGACATTAGTTGTTATCTTATGAGCTCACACTGTTGGCTTTTATGAGTATCTATTGTATGGCAGTCCCCAGAGCAATCACAATGCTATCAGGTATCTAAAAAGCTCTACAGAGTGGCCATCTGATGCTGCATGTAACATTTTCCACAGCGTGAATAGGAGCATACACCCATAAAACACAGTGCATTAGAGTGTATACCTATAGTGCACATTTCCTCTAATTGTAGCACATCAACCTATACCTTGGAGCATGGAAAGTAATGTCTATCATTTTGACCAGTCAAGAAAGAAACTGGCTTTACTGGCTCCACTCCCAGGGCTACATACTGTACATACACCAGCTGGGAATTGACCACTTGTCTATTATGTTGCTTAGGCAACCAATTATGAGTATGTTTCTGTGAGAAGCAGCATTGAGTGGTATTGAGTACATAGTTGCTGTTATGGTTTACTATGCGTTTCTTGAAAGTTCCATTAACACGACCTCAAAACCAAGCAGTACCAGGCAAATCTCTGTAGAATACATTAAAAAAGTTGTGTAGCAATCCCAGTCTTGTATTTTTTATGAATATTAATTTCCCCATGACATGCAGAAGTAAGAAAGAAGCAGATCTAGATGGGCGTACTGCTGTGTTGGTCTGAAAAAGGACCGTGCTGCTGATATTGCCTTATGTGGCACTGTGGTTTACATGTGTTTGAGGTTTTTCATTTTTATATGTCACCTGACAGGAAGCGGAAATAGAGCAGAATAAATGAGGATGTGGTCATACATTGGTTTTTGCAGTGCAAGAATAGTGGTGATGCAACGGCCTATAGCTGATCTTACCTCTATGGATCGAAGGAGGGCAAAATGTTTCAAACACATAAGTACATAGATAATTTTTGTACAAAATTAGGTAGCGCTAAAGCTGATCCAATCACCTACTGGTTTTGGTTGATCCTATTTTACCCATTTCTGTTTTTATTAGTAATAGTAGTGCAGTATTGGTAGTACTCTCTAACACTGCTACCTTTGAATAATACTACTTGGACTTTATGATTATGTAAAAAAGTGCAAAAGCAGGCACATTGTAAACAACACCAGGAGCAAACACCCCCCCCCCAAAAAAAAAACCAACCCTGAAATATGCACTGAGAAATACAAAAATGACATGCATTTCATGACATGTTTGTACGAGTCTAAACTACATAATTGCACCAACTTGCATACAGCCCTACTACTACTTCCTCGATTGTATTGTTGAGACTATAGTTAATAGGCTACTATGATGTCAAACTATTTATTTTGTACCTTTGTCACAGGAACCCCTTCTGAAGCACACACATCTGTGCAGCCTCACATGTCATCCGTGAGACCTACGTCACTGGGTTGAGATGCAGTGCACTGAGGTCCAGCCTGTCAGTGCCAGCGTATACACAGACTCCATATGTTTGTAATTACAGCTGACTAAATAACACATGTTCTGGTGAAGAGTGAGAGGGTGTGGTGGAAGTGATGTTAAATATTGTCACTGAAATACATAACAGGGAGGAGAGCTTGTACAGAGACAGTACAGGGAGTAGCTAGCATTACTGTATTGAACCTATTGACTGTTGAGCTAAATAACCACAGCTGGTTTGCATCTCAGTGGAGGAGCTTGAACAAATATGATTTAAGATGTTCAGATGGTAGTTTAATTGGTCACAGATCTGATAGGAAATGTATGACTGTCATTAGCCAGATTGATGAGCAATGCTGTATTGTTTTTTTAAGTTTTTTGAGTAACTATCATATTGAGGAACATCATTTTAGTTACTTATTTACTACACATTTTAGTGTCAGTTCATGCTGACTGATGTTGGGCAAGCACAGGTAGTATGTGCCATTGTGAATTTATCTGGTGTTTTTTACAAGCTTCTCTCTGAGTCATGGTTTCTTAAAGCTCAAAAACACTACATCACTATCTAGTGCACCATAAACACACACAATGTTTAAGATATATGCAAGTGTCAGTTGCAAGAAGACTTCAGTGCCTGTTATATACGCTGTCACTTTAACAAAGCCTTTTTCACACTTGGTTAAATGTAATGTGTTGTACAAATTCCAACAGTTAATCACTGGGATTGTTTTTGTTGAACAGCTTGTTTACATTAGCAACCAGATTCAAAATAGTCACGTGATGTTTTTACTGGCAAAGACCAAATATTTCTGAGTGTAAATCGACTTTATGACTCTTTCTTTGAATACATTTTGGAAATCTGTAAATCAAGTTATATTTTTGCCAGTACCTTTAAATAAGTAATATTTTTTGTCGACTAAAAAAAAGTTTATATTAGGTAATATAATGTACATTTTTTAGTCTGTTTTATTTTTTGTACAATGAAAATGCCCTGTTAGTATTTGTTGTGGGCTGCAGTCATCAAAGAGTGTTGTCTGTAGGCGTCTGTATTTTGGCTCAATGTGAGTCTTCTTCTGTCAGCACTCTGACATTCTGCACTTCACAGCACTGTACAGCTCAGCTCAGCAGGGAGGGTCAGACTGGGCCAGCCAGAAACTACAACTATGGTCCTGAAGCACAACTGGATACATTTTAAGATCAGCCTAATAACTAAAGGTGTTGTTTATAGTTTATTGAATGAATAAACTGCTTAAATTGCTGTTTATAGACAAGAAGAGACATAAGACACTGGTGGTCACTTAGGGAAGAAGATGTAAAAACTGAAGGGGCAATAGTTCTACTGCTGCAATAAAGAACGATGAGCTGGAATAGAGAGTAAATTTATATGAATGTCATTGATTTAATTCACAGGATAGACTGAGGTAGGAATTGCAGTGTTCTCAATGAATTTACACTTAAGCTTAATAATAATTCTACTTTTCTGCACATATTTTAGGCACCTTTTGTAGATAGTAATGTGTTCTTTTCTGTTCTCTTGTGCTTACAAAATAGCTGAATAATAACAGAATGAGATCTCAATTTCATCGGCTATTATTAAATTCTTCAGTGTAGGGCTATTAATTATTAAAACACCAATAGCTTTGGTCAAGGTCAAGAACAAAGCTGGCCTCTCCTGATCTGGGTGACAGCTGAAAAACAAACATTCCCAGGACAAACTGTGCTAGCTGTCCCATAGCTTTAGCCTTTCAATGTGTAATCAACAAGATGAAAGGCGTAATAAATGCAACCACTAAAATCCAATTACTAAGCTGCTTTGTTGGGTTTCTTTATGGTTGGACAGACTGGGAGAGTGCTTGTGTGTGCTTAAAGAAATACTGGAAAGTACTGCAACTTCTTTGAAACATTGAAATAAAACAAAATATCAAATTTAAATGTGTTTTTTTTACAGCATTCGGTAGCCTATCCAGTATCTTTTCTTGCAAACATGTCACAGTGTAATGCTACTATGAAGAGGTGGATCCTATCACCTCTACAGCTGTCAAAAAGAAGTTAAAGGGCCCAAAGCTGTTTTAGAGCAATATTGTGGTTTACGTAAAGCATAATATATTTTTAATTTCTCCCTTGTCCTGTGAAAACTATCAAAGACAACACATATACATATATACATATATGTATAGGCTCTAGGGCAACATTGGCTCAGTTAAAACCATGTGAATATCTCGTGCCCAGGGACCTTGAAGGACGTGTTAGTGGACGCGTCATTAACTTCTGTGTTAAGTGAAAAAGCACCTTATGAAGTGAACCTGTATCT